CATTTTCAATGACAAATCTCATTTGCAGTGAGTCAAGATTGAATAAACAGATTAATTTACTATTTGATGTATAATAAAAAATTAAATGATAAATTGATTTTTAAAGGATCTACTGAAAAAAGTTGATGTCTACCGCATAATACTTTTCATTTTGAATAAGTTTACTCACCGCGACGAGGGTGCTGAGAGCTTCAATTCGCATAGTAGCTGGCCAGGCCAGCGGGGAGGCCGTAAGTTGCAAGCTGGTCGGATCAATCACGTATGTCGATCCCCGATTATTGGCCGATGATCTTCCCTGTAGTTGTATTCACTCGATCCGAACCGTGTCCGGCAGGCGATCCGATTCTCCCGGTTCTACGTCTATTTCTCGCGATCCGTTGTGCCGATCCGATGACATGGCTCCTGCGCCGATCTGTCAACAAATCAATTTTTCGTTAGATCATTCAGATTTCTTCGATCATCATCTTAGAAAAATGTTTATTTTTATCTCATACAAAAAATATCGTCAAGGTATAAAATCTAAATATCAATTGCATTATAATAGCAAAAATTTAATCCCGATTTTAGAGTATAACATCATGTCTCTTACTTTTTTTAAATAAAATTCAACACGTCTAATAATGATTAATTTGACATTTATGTCTTAAATTCTCGTGCAGAATATATAAATAGTAGTAATAGTTTAAACACATCAACTTGTCACAATAGACACTTTGATATTGTGACATTTGCACTTTTTAAACGTGACAACTCACGAAATAAATACATATTCCATTTATTGTCATTGTTAATAATTAAAGATTGGCTCGGTCATTAAATCACGTCACGAGAAACTAACAGTGCGCCGTTAATAATCGGACAGAAAGCGACGCGATCACCACGGCACGTTGCGTTAGACTGGATCGATCTTTAAGATTTGCCGATAAAAGTAACGAGGCCAGAGTTAAACGCCGGCGTTTCGGTCAAGAGAAGAGCAGTACGTTTCGTCACATACACCAACAATGATAACGCCACGATCGCCAATATCTTATCTCAACGCGTTTTCGATAGAGTATTCCACCAATTACATTACCTGATGTATACTGACCTACCGAAGTGCCTTATCTACCATTATAGTTCCCTTCGACTGAGACCATTTCCACTTCTTCATTTTATTTTCCAATTGGTAAGTCTTTGTACTTCCTCTTGTTTTCAATGGCTAAGATAGTCATTTGACTCTTCTAACACGTAGATCAATTTTTTAAACGTTTTGTTTTGATTTAGTAATAAACCGGCAAAAAAATATGAATTTAGGTCATTCGATTTGACATCTTTATTTTTTAGGGTATCAAGATAAAATCCGTTTTAATGTGTTCGCGTGGAGCAGTTGTGCTCAATTTGAAATGAATTCACGTCCACATAATCATTACCATTTAAATCGATGACGACATCGTTTCATTGAGAACAATCTTTCTTTAACATCAAATTGCTTAAAACTGCATAATCGTGAGAAAAAAAACAGAAGATTTAAGAAATTGCGAAGTCGTTTCATTCGCGATTGTTTCAATCCGCGATTGACAAGCATATAGCATGGCGGTTTACACACAGCCGCTCCCAGTATCATTCGTTATACGAGTTAATGACTTCTCGAGAAATCATCGATTGGTCCGTCCAGAAGTCGCGACGCCTCTCAGGCCGTGTAAACACGCCTTCTCACTTAACGTACTGGTCGAGAGTTACAAATTGCGGCAAAACAGAGTAATAAGTAATGGTGACAGACTAGAGCACACAGGTAAGTATTACATTATGAATAAATGGTACTTCTAATACGAGAATTGCTCCGTACATACTAGAGCGGGCTCGGTGTTCTGTTACAAGCGAGAGCTTTAGTAGTCTGTGTCCACCTAATGACGGAGAATAGAAACGATTTTTCATGATTTCCTTCGCACACAATACCCAAAACACGTTTCTGAAACACCTGGACAGGCTCCACAAGCAAATTCACATTTTTCTATGTACAGAGTACAATTAATACGCATTACATGACGAAGACTGCAGATTCTTTTTATTATTTAATTTCAAGCACAAATATTATGAAACATAGTTTACAATATTATTGTTCTGACTCAATAT